CTCTTAGAACGATCAGCACCGTGTGTTCCATTTTAATTCACTAATGCATCATACATTTAAAAATACAAATGAACGAAACGATCGAATGAAATTGATGTTATATAGTTCATTTTTAACAATCACAATCATTCTTGAAACAATAATATATAGTGTACTATTTAATAATTGAATCTCTATTGAAACAGCCATATTGAAAAATGAACATAATAATTATTTTCTCTTCCATACGTTACTGTAATAAAATAATATATTGCACCTTTTTAAAAATTATTTTCTATTTTTCCTGCCTTGCATTACTAAAACTTTCAAAAATTTTTAATACAATTTTCTACAAAAACTATATCATGCATCGTTTGAGAAGAGTATAAGTGATCTTAGAATAATCTTCGTGTCGTTGTTAATATACTTTTTAATATGAAATAAATCAAATTTCTTTGGATTCGATGTATTTTCGAAGATACGGGTGTTTGTGAACGAAAATGGAACAGCCTGTACAATGGAACGACAGTTTATTCGCGTTCTCAATGCCATGACGTGCGATCCTAACAACAAGAATGAGAAGATCGACGGCGAGAGGTCGGAGAAAAAAAGAAGTCGGCGCTCGAAGATTTTCGAATTTTCGAGAAGCGAAATACATAAATAGATCGGCGATGTCTATACCCCTCCCTTCTCGTGTTCAGCTTTCTCATCGGCCGGCACGAACCGTAAAATCGCGGTTAGGAATAATTAATTCCGCGCGTTACTTCCCTCCCCGAGCATGCGTGCGAGTGTTTCTCATAATGCTCCGTTTGCAGCGGGTCGCACGATCGATTAAAAACCGAACGAACCGCGGGAACGCCTGAACACTTGCCCCCTGGACCACGTCCGCTCCCTTTGCCGCCATTTTCTTCAGCTTGACCCCTTGACCCGCAATCTTTCTCGAAACCTCGTAGTAATCAGTAACTTTCAAGTGAGAGAAGTAAAAGAAGAATTATTTTACAGATGAGCAATAGAAAATAAAAATGAATTTCTGAATGAGAAAAAATTGAATTTATAATTTCTAATAAATACGTTGTTATAATAAAAATGTATGATGGAATATTTATAATTTATAATTTATAATTTATAATCGTGTTTTATATATTTTATAATCATGTTTTACAGAAAGAAGAAAATATTTTTGGTTGGAGGTTTGAATAAATCGAGAAAGATGGCTTCCGTGGTAGTTCTCAACAAAGCGGAAGCGCCAACAGTATAATGTATACGGAAGCAGCGTCGTTTTTATGGGAACAACGGATTGCACAATCGTATAGAAGGAAAAACGCGGACAAGAAGAAGAAAAAAATGGCGGTAGCGTAATATTCGCTTCAATGAAAGTTACGGAGCCGGTCCCCGGGACGTTATTCAATCGGAGACCGAGCCAGAACCATCGTCCTGGGAACAACAATGACTATTATTCTTATAAAAATAGTAATGCCACCAGTCGGAGAAACTTTTACTCCTGCCGACAATCATTTCTCCCGTTTCCTTTTTTTCATTCATTGTGGCAATTTCTTTCGTTTTCAACTGTGCATGGTGATTCGAAATTAGCGTTATAAAATTACTTTTTGTGCTGCAAATTTGGAACAAAATTTTTAATAAATACCGACGTCGAAAATATCTTCTTTGGATGAAACGGTCGTTATTTCTTAATATTTGTCACGATAATTTCCAATATACTTGTCATTGATAACCGTTTGTGTTATATTCACAATTTCTGGCCTCAATGTTCGTTTAACTTTTTATACTACAGAGAAATATAACATTAATTTAATTTAATTTCGTTCCTTCTAATGATAACATTTAAGTCAACTTTAGTTTATTCTATTAGGTTGATCAAAAAGTCTAATCGCAATTTTGAAATGAAATGTAATGAAAAATTGCATTACATTAAATTAAACTGCATTAAACTATACGTCATGTATTTTATAATTTTATCATTCTATTTTATTATTTTATAATGCTTATTATATCAAGATCAGTATTTATTAGAATTTCCGTCTCCATGTTTAAGGTGTGATCTGTGCAGTAAACACATTGCAATGCAAATTTAGAATCACCAAGTGCTATCAGGAAGTTTACCTGATCAATTCAGTATTGTTTGATGATTCAAGGAATTTGACATTTTCCTCGTAATTCTAAAAATATCTCTCTTCGATGGATCTAGCGGATCCATAAAATAACGAACACAGGTTACATTGATACCGCTGACAGTAGTTTCAACCTATTCATAATCTCTTTGAAGAAGATATTTCCTGCTTTCACTTCAAACACATGAAAAACAAAAGACTATGTCTGTAATATTACAATTTTCTCTTAAATAATCAAGTGCCTAGACACTGTTTCGTGGGTAAATATTATTGCTATCGTCTTTTAAGCAATTAATAAAGTCAAAATTTGTAATTTTCTTCAAAAATAAAAATGTGAAACTCTAAATTTGAATATTCCAGAAACAAATTGAAAGTGTCTACCAAACGCAGAAATATCTTAATTTCCTAATTTTTAATTTTAATCTCATTCCCTAATTTTTCTAATACAGTATCAGAGAAGACTTGATCATTGAAAACTATTGCCAGTCATTCAATGCGAATTAATAATAACTGGAAACTTTACACGCGAGAACACCCACTTTGATCCATGCTCGAGGAAATCAGTGAACGCACGTAAGTGTGCGTTGGAACGAATAATTCGATAATATTAAATACTATTAAAGAGAATAACGTCGAGACAATCCGTAATATCCCAACGATAAGACTACTATTTCGTTTCAGGAACGACGAAGAATATCTCATTGCAACTCTTATTTCAATTTACCTACATTCCATCGATCAATAGATCGCGATTGAACATGTTGAAATATTCCCTCGTTATACATACTGTATCGAGGGATGAACCCTTTCTCTTTCTACAATCGACATATCTCAATTATTTCCTGTAACAAGGAAAGTTTAACGCCGACGAAATAAGTAACGAGGGAATACTGTACATCGTGTGGAATCAAAACAGTAATAGAAAAGAGTTTTAAATACTCGAAGAAAATACAGGTATAATACATTGACCGCCGTATCATCGAAGGATAAACGAAAAATTAGAATCAAAAAGCGGGAACATCGCAAAATCTTCAGCTTCAATTACATTTCTTCCAAAAAGTAACGATCTTTTTTGAATGTCAGAAGTATTCCATACTGTCCAGTAATTATTTAAACACATACGTCGCGAAACAAATAAATAAATACTTTTACAAAATTATTTCACGTGTCCACTCATTCGTTTACATTCTTCAAACCTGATTTTGCTAACGAATTATACCCGTTTTCCTTTCGTAGATACTAATATACATATATCTATATACTTAATTATAAATACAAATTATATTTTACACCGTTGCACAATGTTACAGTTACAACATATAAAAAAAGTTAATGTATTTGGCAGTCAACGTATCGAGACAACGTTCACAAATTTCACAGGACTTAATAGCTAAATGGAATAACGCGAGTTCGTTCGTCGCTCCTAAAATGGCGGCAGCGCGCTAAGCGAATCCGCGACGCTGTCGCTGAACAACGCTATCTGTCCTTTACAATTTAGTTTGTTTTTCTTATATTTGCTTTTTTTTCTTTTGTTCCTTTACATCTCTCCTTCGCTGGCAACGATTTGTTTTTCAGCAGCTATGTACATCTACGACACCGATGGACGAAACGGATCGGCGAGCGCGTTAACTCCGTCGCGAGTTACCGTTCTCGCGTTCTTCTTTAAATATTCCGTGCCACTTCCACACCGACGGCACGGTCAGCTAACGCACTGTCTATCGAAACAGAAAAAGAAACGCACGTTCCTCGCTCGGTTACTTACTTCCCTTCTACTTTTTCTTCTTTTTTTAAATTTTGTTTCTATCTCTTTTCGTTTTGATATGCTCGAAACGCGGTCCTCCCATTGCCACGGAATACTTTCAAGAGCTTGTCTATCCTTCGACTGCTAGTGACGGCCAACACAGTTATCGATAACTTTTGACATTAACATCGAGCATACATCGAGCATACATCGTCGGTTTGCTAGTAAAATACTTGTGAATATTTTTAATATATTTTTTAATATTTTTGAAATGCGATTTAAATATTTTTCAGATGGCAAATATGGAAGACTATTAAATATAATGATATAAGGATTTTCGTAAAATTTAATGAGATTATTGTGAAATTTGAAATTCAAAATGAAATTGTTGTTTTGTTTACGTCGTGATAAATATGATATTATACTGTTTATTTTATCATAAAATCATGAAGGTTCTACGTTTAATTATTAGTTTTTTCAATTATTTTGGGAACATTTTATTTTGTATTGGTAATTTTAATTAATTTATTAGTTCCATGAGTACTGTTTTAGGTTTACCTGTTGATGTTTTAATGATATGTCGACGAATGTATGCTTTTGGAACAATTTTATCAGTGAGGTATCGATAATTGCTAAGACCACTTCTACTGTTGGTCGAGAGGAATGTCAAACATATGTTCTCCGATCAAACAAATTGTGAGTAGTTTATTTATCTCCCATATACCACTGGCGTATGTTTGTTTCCCTTTAAACTCGTTTCTCACGTCCCCGTAAGATTTTATGCTTTCAGGGAACACATTCTTCTGTTTTCGTAACGTAATACAAAACGTACGTCGACTAAAATATTTTGGAAGAACGATTTAAGAAAATAAACATATAGGTTGTCAGAATTGTACGCCAGAAATAATATGAAAATATTACATACAAAAAATCATGTAATTTGATTACTCGAAATAATTTTTGTATCATATATTCTACTAAAAGTTGCAGTACAAAGTTTCATTGTAGCATATTCATAATTTTTCTACCATCTTGATTTTCAAACCTGTTTCCTCGATCATTATCATTTTCTTTTATGAATAATATAGATATCTGTATTTGTAAATAGTTCTTTAAAATTATAGAATTTCTATTTCGAGTATATTTTTTCGGAACAGATAATATAACAGTAGTAAATTTTTAGTTTAGTGAAAAGGGGTAATCAGAAATATATAGTTACATAAATTTTGATTTGTTCTATAGCACTTATAATTTAAAAATTACTTCAGGCAATCAAATTATCTTACAATTGCGGTATAAAAAAAACCACAATTTAATTATAACTTTTTAATTATAAATAAATCCTATATTAACTCATTCGACAATAAATACTTTCAGAAATTTGACCTCCTTCTCGACGCACTATTGCACACGGAACTGATCATCCTCGCTATTCCACACAACTACATTCGACAAATGTTACCACAAAAAAATGCTACCTAGACGAAAAACACCGTTTTAAGTCTCAACATACGTTCTCCGAGCTATTTAACGGAAAACCTAGCAACAATGTGCGTGGTATGTCTCGGAGACATCATCAGGTTACGAAGTTACTTTCAATGATTTGCATTAAACGCAAACAGAATTCTTTTACAGACATTACTTAACGACTTTTTGAACCATCGATACAGTAATATTAATCCTTAAGTCAATAACCAACATTTTTTTACTGTGTTGACGGTCTAAGATACCAATCAACGACAATTTTTTCCATCATTTTTTTTTATAATTCTGCATTGACCATTTTAAATCAAATGATAATGATAATAATCATCGAGATCATACAAAATAATCATTAATAAATAAACAAATTGTAATAAGGTTACCTTTCTTTCATTCTCCTCGTACTATAAACAAATGAAATAATTTACTAATCATAATGTACACTGAGTAAAAAAAACAATTTTAATAAAAATATCATATAAAACAGCATATCCAGATCTCAAGCAAACGCACTCTTACAGTTAGTATTAAAAAAATACAAAACCATTGTTTTCTAAAACTCCCAGCATAAAATATTTCTCAATACAACATTACAATATTACCCACAGAAGTTTTACAATTTTTCAATAGGACCGTAAAGCGTTTCCAAGTACAACTAATTGTCGGTTATCGACGCAAGGATCAATAACATAATTATTCACGCAATCAATAACCAAGCGTAACACATCAACTCGTTTCACAGAAACCATCTTCCAACAGTCGGTTCGAGGACATACCACGCGTGATGTTCGTACTCGATTGAAGATAGTGGAAACTATGGTCTCAGGCATCCTCGCTAGCCTAGTAATCTACTAGTGGAAACGCAGTGTTTCTCAGTCTATGTCGATCACATCCAAATTATCGGCCGATTCCTTACGATGGCGCATCTTCCGGCGCAGCAGGACCGTCCTCAGGATGCTCGGTGATCGTAGACCCGCGACTTCCGGCCGCGGGGCATGCTGCTACGCGGCCTTGTGCCTCTTTCTTTGCTCCCGCCGCGACATGCTCGCTGAACCCGGGCTACCCGATGTACCCGCCTTTTCGCAGTCGGCGGTCGGTAAAGGTTTCAACTCTCTGGAAACGAAACACACTGATCTCATTTCTTTGCTCCAAATTTACTGTCCTCCAAAGATGTTTAGTAACTTATCCCTCGAACTAAAGGGACAAGTGCGAGTAATGTAACTAACAAAATGAAAGGTGTAAATCCTTAAAATCGATAAAATTAGTCCGATTTACACCATGTTTGGACTTATTTTAATCATGACGATCTCAACGACTCACTGGTACAACGTTTGAGGAAGTTAGATTGAAATGAATGAAATTGATATTTGCTTTATTTCATGTTTATATTTGACGCGTGCGGCATCGTTTTGAAGTCCCGCGTCTTGACCCTAGATATCTCGACCCTTATCTCTATCATATTTTGTCGTATTTTGTGTCATTTGCGATCATCGTTTACGCGGATCAGCCAATAACAGAAGCGACCGAAACCGAGGCGTCAACGTTCATAGCGAGTGAACGTGTCCTCTTGTCGCATTTACCCCTTCAATTCGAGGGACAAGTTACCAAACGTCGTTAGAGGACCATAATGTCTCATAATGCAGAGTTGTCTAACTGACTCCCCTCGCGCTATTAACTCGCAAACAGCGTTCCCCTACTATCTCTACTTTAGGAGCTGCATGAGAGAGTGTGTGTAAGCAGCTCTATGTAGTGTTCAATACAAACAGCTAAAAGTAGGTATGTAGGGGGTAATTCTCTGTGAGGGGAAAGTCGCTATGGAGCTACCAGTTAGACAGCCCTATTATAACGTGTCGACATTTACCATCGAGATTGAGAAAAATGATTAGACAGTAACACGAATGAAGGGTACTTGTAGAAAAGATGGTAAGTGCCTTTGAAATTGTTAGAGTAAAATGGAAAGAGTAATTCTGAGAGATGGCCCGGTCTCACTGATGTTATCGAGTGTACAAATTTTCAATTGAAAAGATAAATTTCAAAATAACACAAGTCAACCAGTCAACATTTCGAGAGAATCAATTTTTTTTTTTAATCTTCGTTCATTTATTCATTATCTATTTTGTTGATTCATGCTGCAAGCATTGGTTACACATACATCTTCGTTACGGGTACAGTTTTAATGTTATTAAGTAGCTTTGAGTAAACTGAAAATAGTTGGATCAATAACTCATATGGATAACGTTAGAATGTGGACTTGTGCTGTTTTGGAATTCACGACTTCAATTGTTTTTAGTGAAATAGTAAATCTTGCACAGAAACCTATTCAATTATTTTCTTTATACAGGATGAGTCATTCAACCGTGCCACCTAACTTTATTTGTAAACTATTTATCATATAAAAAAATGTCCTCGAACCGACATACGTGACAGTTATTTGGTATCAATTAAATCAACCGTATTATTGTCAACCATAATTTCAACTCTTGATGCCAAATAACTTCTGCCTCAAACATTTTTTTACTGAACAAATAAATGTTGATGGTACGATTAAACAACTCACCCTATATGTATTTATTTTCATTAATATATTTTCTTCAATTAGGTATTAATAAAATTTATGATGTAATAGCTCTTTTTAAAAAATTGGGTCATCTCTCCTCGACTTACCCAATATCTACCGTTATGTATCGTTGTGTCATAATGTCATATCTCGGTCCTATCGATGTTATCTTGATTATTTACGCAAAGGAAAACTGTGTTATAATTGTACACCTCAGGATAATAAAAAAAAAACAATTTTTTAGTATCTTATTCTTGTAATATAGTCTTTTAAATTTAATAAAAAGAATAACATTTTCCAATGGCACTTACAGTGTTTTCTAGAAAAACTCTTCAAATAAGTCCAAGTGCAAGTGTGGATATGTTCTGATTGTATGAATTTAATTATATCTTATTACAAACGCGCATAACTGTGATGGACAAGAAGCTGGTACTGCTTAATTTAACTTTAACAATTATTATATAGTTATTTCATTGTTTCTTGAAACCAATAATATGAAAAAAATATTAAATATATCCGAACGTATTTATGTTACAACTGAATAGTTGCAGGATAAATGTAACAATTTTGCTACACTACAAAAGCTCAAAATTGTACTGAACTCGAGGTAGTAGTTCAAGAATATTGGATAATGTTTAAATATAAATATTGAAGTTTCCATTTAAAACCAAAGGTCTGGTAATAGAACTTTGTAGAAGTTCGTAAAATGCAATCGTAAAAATATTCTAGTGAGAATTAGAACAAATATAACAATTATTACAATACAGTTTATTATAATATAGTTTAATAGAATTTCCTGTAAGACGTTACCTTTATCCTACGCAAAGTGTAAGTCATTAACATTTAAGAACGAAGTATAAGCAAGTAGTGTTGGTTTCGTTGGAACACTGAACTTTTAATATGAACATTTAGATTTCGATATGAGATACATTTAGAAAGAAGTTCAGATTAGTGCAACAATTTAATCGAAAATTCTTGTCAACAGGTCATTGTCCTACTCCTTGACTAATCGATTTAATCTTAATAAATTTCATTGCACTACTCCATGCTTCTTGGTCTTATCCATAAAACCGACCACAAGAAAGTGTCTCTTAACAGCTAGGCACAGCAACAGTGTCGATACCGAAACACGAAAACGACAAAATTGCATAGTCAACACATACTGGTTCTCAACAATAAAAAAACAGTGTCTGAAATAATAGGAAACCACGTGCTGTTGTGAATGTGTCTCTCTAATCAACGTGTTATTCATGTGTCATAGGTCAAGACATTTAGACAAGAAATCGTGAAACTTCGGCGACACTATTAACAAATAATCTCAAAATTGTCCTTGCGCTTCTCAAAAAATCGATCTTACCCGGGATTTTAGAAGACGTTTGGAAACTCTCTTCTTAAAATTTGTGTTTAATGACCTCCAAATCACTGGATCAAATAAAATTTTTCGATTGAATATCTGAACGAACATTTCAACGATGTTTACAGTACAAACAGATGTTTCATTGCTTATAAACGTTTTCTTTAATATTATTTCTCTTGATTCTTTCACAAAACAAAAAGAACAAGAAATTTGTTCATGAAAGATAGAGCACGAGAATCACACGACCGAAATGAAAATTTACTACTGTTGAGTATTTACCTGTAATTGAGTAGCTCGTCGTCGTCGGGCACTCGAGATATCAGATCGAGGACCTCGTTGTTCGGGACCGAGTGAGGCCGGATGATCTTTCTGAAGAATTTATTGATGCCCCACGCCAGGATCAGGTATCTAACCGGGATGAAATAGAGGATCGCTGCGCCGAGGATCACCAGCACTATGGCCAAGTAACTTAAGTAGGGAACGGTGAAATTGAAGAGATTTTTAACTCTTTCACAGAGGCTCGCTATATAACCGATCGAGTTCTGCACGGTTTGGGTCACCTCCTGAATCGCCTGCAGCCGTTCCTTCAGACTTTTCTTCTCTTCCTGGAAAACCATCCGCCGATGAGATATGTTATTTTCGATCAAAATTTTCAAAGCGATAAATAATAAAGTTATTAAGTAAAATAGAAGCGATAACTGCAAAAATAAGTACATGAATTGATTTTGGAAAAGTAGAATTGAAGAAGAAGGTAAAATTATTTAAGATTAGAACGTTATTGGTTAAAGAACACATTTTAATTTTTAGTTTCATTAGTGAAATTTTGGTGGCATAATTTACGATGTAATTTTATTTCGAATTTATTCATTTCAGATGAGAATTTACTTTAGTCAGTTTGATATTGGAAAGTTATATTAATATATTAAATAATAATGGTATTTAATATTTTATTTCAAGTCCATTTATTGTAAAGAAAAATTTATTTTAGCTAGTTTGATATTGAAAAGTTACATTAATATGTTACATAACAATGGTATCTAATATTTTATTTCAAGTTCATTTATTTCAGAGAAATATTCATTTCATATACTTTGAATATTAATGAATCTAATTGAGATTAATTTTAGAATTAGATCAAATAAAATAATCATTCTAATTGATTTGGACAAAACTGACGAAGATACTCACTTTGTCTTTGTCATCATCGTCGTCGTCGTCGTCCCCCGGAGTGGTTGGGCCATCGTCACCCTCGTCGTGGAAATGAGAGCTGGTATTATGAGACAGGGGCGCGCCGGTGATCACTGCAACCTATTCGGAAATCAAATCATTGATTGAGTTCACTTTCATCACCGTAAACCTGACAGAGAGCGTAGACATGCCACGATGCAACCAAAGGTCGTTGAGAATTTCGTTTACAAAGAGTGAACCTTTTACAATAGAATCACACATGGTTATTTCTTGTTCATTGATATATTAAGAAAGTTGTTAAAATTCTAAGTACTCGCAGTAACAATAAAAATTATTAAAATAAATTCCTCTCGAGATTATTGTTTTTAAATTCTTCAAAATCACTAACATTTTTTCAGATGTTACTTATTCATAGATTTATAAAAAAAGGTTAAGTTTAAGGCTGTAATTATTGACAGGGACAATGAAAGTAATTAAAAGAAAATCTTCTCAGGTGTATTTTAATTCATTCACTTATTAACAAATTAAACACTCCAGGGTTTGATTGAAAATATTTTACATTTGCTAGAGACACTTTATTTAGACGAGATCTAATAAAAAAGATATAAACTTCACTGAAAGCAGAATCTCTACAGTGTTTTATTAACTTAGATGGCGTCCGCTTTCTAAAAACTTCATGGAATCTTTGAGCTCGACTTTCTTGTAAATTTAATTGGATGAAATGCTCCTCTATTGTGCTCAAGAACAAAGACATTCACCTACTGAAGAGGGAGGAGTTTGGGGATGACTAAAAGATTTATCAAAAGTTCTGGACAAATGGAGAGTACTCGCAGACATCAAAACAATCTTATGCAAGTAAAACTACAAGAAGTTTTAGGTCAATATAATGACATCTAAAGGAATCAGCAAAATATGCAAAAATTTTAATCGGCAATAAAATATACATTAAAAAATGAAAACAAGGAGGTATACAAACTGAATGTAGTTTACTTACCAAATAGTACCTCAGAAGAATAAGTAACGCCGCGCCAGGTATCATGTAAGGCTCAAAGTAATAACAGACAACAACGAAGAAGACCAACGCGATGATGCTTCTCATTTTGCTCTCCCACTCCCAGCAGCTCCTGAATACATAATCAAACACCAGGTAAGCAATCTCCTCAGAATACTCTAAAAAAATTCAAACCAAATAAATCTTTTATTTTTTACATTTTAGCCATCTGGACTGAAATTTAACATTAGAACCAACGAGTAAATATAGGTAAATGGAAATATGAATTTTATAATTACATTAAATGTAGATATCTTTGTAATTTCAATAATTGTGAAATAAGAAATCTAGAAGCAATCGTTTTGGCATATGTGATAGTTCTAATGTTAATCGATTATTCTGTGATCTACGTCCTTCTATTTAATTTTGTAATGCTTCATTAAGAATAATTTTCAATAACAATAAGTATAAGTTGCTTTTGCAGTTATATTATATACAAATATATTTTATACAAACATAAAAAAATGAACCGTTTATTTTGAAAGTAGCTTAAGTCCATATAAAAAAGATTTAAGAATGATTAAAGAATAAAAAAATTATGTAGAACTGTAACTATTATAACGATGAATTTGATTTTTTTTTTAAATGGACTTAAACCATTTCCAAAATAAATGGCTCAAATATATAAACATTAATTCAATTTATACGATAGACACTCAATTTACAAGGACACAAGAGAAATTACGCACTGTATGTATTTTCCTATATCGATGAAGATTATGATGATCGCCTTCAGCCTGAGTACATTCCGTAAAAAGACCTGTCGCTTGAATTTGATCTCCGGCTCCATGTACTTTTTCTCCTTGGGATTCAAGGTCCGAACGCAGGCCCTGAGGACGTTCCATCGAACGGTCATCTCTAATAGAATCTGTGGCGAATTACCCTTCGCTCGGCCTCTAAGTTTCTTGTCCTTCAACGCGTACCACCTCTTCTCACCGTTCCTTATTCTCAGCAACGGTATGGCGACCTTCCCGAGGAACTCTACTTTGTGGTCCCTGTCCTCGTCGTACACTGTCACCTCCAGCACCGAATTAATATCCTTCACGTTGCTAGAAACGAGTTATCGTTTGTAAACTAACAAGGGAAGTTATCGAACCCGGGATTTCAAAAAATGGTGAAACTTTTTAAGTAGAGCAAGTCAAGCCTAATACATTGTAAATTCGTTTTCGTGCCGAATTTCACTTTGAAAAGATGAAACCATTCCGCCAAAGATGAAAATATTTCTTTCCCATGGATTATACTGAGACCGATAAGAGATAGCGAAAAAGAGTTTAAAGAAAAAAGACATTGTTCTTTCCCGTTTATAAAATTGCAAAATAAAATTTTTCAAAAAAGATTCGTGTTGCGGGTATTTTAAAAAATTTGGAATTGGTATTAGCAGCAAATTATATTTATGCTGTTGGTGTTAAATAAAATTATTTTATAAAAACTTTCTCTGTGTTTAAATTTTCATTTAAGAATTCGTACAAATTTTTTCCGGTACCTAATATAAACGCGACCAAAAAGTTACATATAACTTGATACTTTATTTAAAAAATCAATGCTGTCTATAAACAAAATATAATCAAACCTTCCGGCAACACAGAACGTGTTAATTATATAATACAAGAAATGAAGATTATAGTGTACAAAACAACTTCAACAGAGATATAAACTCGAGTAGCGAATATTCAAGGCTTGCAATAGAATTTAAAATGATAGGCTGTCCAACTAGACAACGAAGTAAAGGTACACGCAAATGTGCGATAGCTAACTCAACTCGTGAACGATCTTTTTATGTCTACTGTCTCCTCTTGTGCTACAAACTATAAACATACACCTTTAACTTTTTGGTAATATTGTGGATAGCATTTCAATATAACCTATGAAAACCAGTTAGGTCAAAGGAAACAGATATGTTTTGATCAATTTGCATTGGGATGATAGAAAAACTAGATCTTCACACCAAACTGTAATTGTAATTTTATTACAATTTATTTTCTTTTGTATGAAAAAATTAGTTACCTCAGCTGTAGAGCACTTTGCATAATATTTACTATATTTTTAATAATTATTCATTTTATTTATTAAATCATTAACTTTCATTAAGTTAATTAAATTTGTATATTAACATCTTTTGTTGTTTCTTATTAACCCTATTCTCGGATCAATTTATAAAATTTTGATTTAAACTTAAATATCACTCATCTGAGAATAGTTAAGTCAGTTTTTCAAGTGAAATAAATTTTATTCATTCATTTATTTATTTAACTGTAATGGAATTTGATTGAGATTACAGCTGTAGTAATAATAATTGCTACTTATACTTGTATTAAGTATAGAATAATCGAAATTTAATTAATTAATTAATATTAATCCTAATTTTGATCTTATTAAAAGATTACGATCACTTACAAGGTGAAAATCTTTTGCCAGTTCGGCGCGAGAGTCTTGTACTCGGTTTGAGTTTGCAGCCTGGAGTTCACTAATTCAAGGACACAGAAGGGATCGCTCTTCCCTCCTAAATCAGCCGCTGCGAGACCTTGTGCCCTGAATACCTAAATAATGATAAAAACGCACTTAACCCTTCAATGTTTTATTAATAATTAATTATAACGATGGTTAACTGTACTCGTAAGTCTACTATACCTTATCTTCCAAATACATGTTTACGTTACTCATTGAAATAACGTATTCATACTAATACTCAAATTATTTCGACACTAAACAAAGTTACCATAATAAGTAACCTTTATTTAAATAATCTGCAAACATTCAATTCAAAGAAATTATAAAGAACTCTTCACGAATTCACTAATCATAAAATATGCAAAATATATTACTTATCTAATCTAGAATATTTTTAAAAAATTACTTATTATAATTTATCCTGTCAACATCGATATTTAAAAAAAAATGTTCATTGTTTAAACGAAATCTTATTAAACGGTTTACTATTCTAATAATAAGACTTAAGTAAAATACATGCATTTATCGAATTCGCGATCTAGTAATCATAAATGAGGAATAAGATAAAATTGTGACATATCCGGTTCAGAATAGACCCCGATATAGTCAGTAACCATTAACAGTAACGAACGTGCAACACAATTCATTCGCAAACCTTGTCAAAATTGTAACAATAGATTTTATTCAATTTCTTTGTATATTCATTATAGTCTTCAAGTGAAATTATTTATTTTGAAAATCATTTCGGATATTTAACACTTTTAAGACATCCATAATTGCAAAATGAGGAAATGAAACCCGATATTTTGACGAATACTGTGGTTCTAAATGTTAAGGATTGGCAATAAACAAAATCTCTAATAAACACCTTCACGGTTAGGTGTCCAACATCTCGTATCCTCTGGAAGGTGTTCATCACCGAATATCTTTGGTACAATTGCTCCCGTTCGTGAGGAGTTTCTTCGTGTGCCGCCAGATCGCTGATGGTCTCGCTGGCTGTGGTGCCGCTGATGGTCAAAAGTAAAAAAATGCTCCCTGAGCCATCTTCAAGTTCACGCCAGAGACGATGAGTTGTCTCGCGCTCAAGCGTTGCCAAATCTATCATCGTTCGACCCATCAGATCATCCTGGTGGCTCTTGTCCCGGTCCCAGACAGTCACTTCTAGCTCCTGGCCCAGGTAAGGGTCTTCGTAGAGATGAAGGTCGAACTGCTCCAGCCAAACTGGGTTCAAGGTCTTGTGCACCACCTTCGATTTGTACTTCTCTGTTCCCAACCTGCAGGATTAAACAGAAATTCAATGAAATTATAATCAAAACTAAGTTCTTCGAATATTAAAGACTATGATATGTATCTTAGATTTTTTCTAAATTTTTACAAAACTCACAACAATGAAACATGAAAACTGTAAAAGATCTAACTAAGAAGGATTGATAATATTAAATAAAATATAATTATTTCAATACAATTACTTAAGACAAGATGAAACATTCAACGCTGTTGAAAATCTCGTTTCTTTATGACTTCACCACGATTTTTCATTTTTATTGCTAAGTTATGTGAAAATTTGGCTAAAATTTTTTTGTATATGAAATGAAAGAGTATAATAAGTATCTTAGATATTTTTCAGAGTCTTACAAAACTCACAGCAATGAAAAATAAAACCTGACCATAGAAGGTCTAACTAAAGAAGAAAATATTAAAGAAAATATAATTACTTAAAATATTGATTATGATACAGATCACATTAAAAAAGTTTAAAGGCAAATTTCGAAGATATTTCTCTTTTAATCATTTCAAAGATAAAATGAAATATCTGGTTAAATATGTGCTTAAAATAGTTGTTGACTGTGATAGGTAATTCGAGCCAAATATTGAGATTAAATATTAATATCGGTAAATTACCAATACCATTTTAAATCAATTTATACTTTATTAATAATAGTAAATTAAAAATCTAATTTCATTCAATAATACTTAACTTCAAAGAGAAACTTCGGTAAGAAATTCTTTTCGAATTTTTTTTTAATCACTTGAAAGTATATTGCTTCGAGAATAAAACGTGTAGCTTCAAAAAATATTCATACTTTTAAAAATAAATCGAGCTTTCACTGTGGGAAGCTTGTATAATTTAAAGCTTCAAGAAATGTGTCATATTTTCAACCATAAATAAATCTTTTATTATACGCACATTGTACAATTTATAACTTTAACAAATTTCGTTTAAAAACTTATTTTAAGAAATAAACGGACTTTTCATTACAAAAAATTTGTACAACTTGTAGCATAAAAAATATCCAAAAATAACAACTCAGATTTAGAACTTTAATAATATCGACTTTGACAAAGAATCCTACACTCTAGAATTCTTTCAATTTTCAAAATTGACACAAGAAAAACATTCAAATATTTCTTTTTAAAATAAACTGTCTTGTACATCGAAGCTTTTCTGTTTAGAATCGATTTTCGTGTCGAATATTAAAGACATTTAAATGGTTAAATGTCAAGCTTGCAGAATATGTCAAAGCGTTTAGTGGATTGTATGTCGAGTGATAGTTTTATTCCTTCGCTATATCGTAAATCGCATGGAAATCGAACGATGACCATTTGCACGTGAACAAAAACGAAATACAAATACTATATAAAAACATAAACACGTTCGACTGCGAATATGTACCTGTTCTAATTTCAAACATTTCATTCTTTTTCATAATTATTTTTTATTCAGACGACAAAAATGAATGCTGAAATAATTATTTTTAATTAAACCGAGATCAGAAAAATAATAAAAAGAAACTGTCTTGAAAAATCAAAATTTTCTTTATGTTATATACTTGTAACAAGAGTTACACAATATTTACGGAATATTATTAATATTTCTTATATAACATATTAATGACCCAGATAGTTAGAAGGTTAATCATCATTGTCTTTAATTAACTTGAAAATCCTTATAACATTAACGAATGAAAAGCAATTTCTGTTCGATTTAAATCGATCATTGTTATTTTACTGTTTCACGAAACTAATAGACTGCGTTTTTTTTGGATATATAGGAAATTGAAAATTGCAGGGTGACAAAAAATGTACAGAACATACAAAATATACTTCTTCTTACATTTTTAACAAAATACATTTTCTATTATTAGACTATTTAACTCTATTTCTTCAACCGTGTCCTTAAAGATTCGAATTTGTATAAAGGTCTACAGAGTACTAATGGTAAAAGAAAAAGGAACGTTGAATACGTCCGAACACATTTATGTAACGATCCGATACAACTGTGCATGTTTAACAAGACAGGAGACAAGAATAAGCGGGAAAGAGATGAGTGGGCAGTGAATAATTCCATACCGAAATTTGACGTATGGATCCGATAGACCGTCTATATCCATCGGCAGCAGATTTCTCGCCTCGACGAGAACAATCGTCACCACGGAGCTCCATATTTGCGACTTCAACCGTCTATTTACGTCCGCCAATCGATTTGTCCTCTGGAAGTACTGTAATACAAGAATAAGGCTATTTAAATTGGTATTGGGAACCCCTCCGCTGGAAAAGAATCCGTTCCAGGGGGCAGAAACTGACACTCGACAAAAAAAAACTTTACTTGAGAATAGATCGCTTGTTCGTCGAGCTTGTTTAGACAATGTTTTCCCTTTATTTACTTTATTCGGGAAATGTAAGTATGATTTTGTAAGATACTTTCGCTTAACATTAAACGTACTGATGTTTGTAACCAAATAACTGGTTATAAAACGAAGCTGAAACGAAACAGAAACAGAAGGAAAAACATAAATTGAAAAATTGATTAATCGAACAATATATGAATCGGTATGAAGTTAAATGAACGAAAAGAAAACTAGAAACTTAAATCAAATTTTAAAACTGATCATTTGACCGATTGCGATACGTTAAGATTCTAATCGTCAATTGTTTCATACGCTTAACTTTATTACTAACTTTAACGTTGTAATATTAAAATAACATTTTACCCTGTTTAAATAAAAATAAGTTATTATGAACAATTAATAAGGAAATTGTGAAAAATGTAGCTTCCAAGAAATCTTTTTTTTATATATAATAGACTACATAAACAATATATGTATGTTACGTACTGAACCCAAATAGACCGATCAATGAGTCATCACATAACCTCAAATCAAATAAAAAATTAAATTTCACAAATCATTTCATTCCTCCGTAAACAATAAATATTCTGAAACTTCGAAAAACGTGAATAATAAATTAAAACTAATTTTGTAGCGATCTAGCGATGATAAAAAAGAAACCTTTATCCAAATATAGATTGTCAATTTCATAAATTTAATGTATGGTTATTAACAACAGTATGGCAAACAGACATAATTATGTCACAATGAAATAGTTAATAAATATTATATTAATAATCTAATGAATACAGCAAAAAAACTAATCTCTCTACCCTATGAATGTCCTCCATTTTCTCCTTAACGTTATCCCGCAGCTTATCGAACAAATCATGATGCCTCGTGTCCTTTAATTCTAGCGCGCCATTGCTCGCCTTCGGATTAGCTTCCTCACGCTGCGAATTCTCGGATTTCTTCGACTTAGAAGTCGAAAGCGCAGTGTCCGATCCTAAGTTTGTGGACTCGCTTCCCGTGTTCCCCGAGTTCTCTAATTTAGTCTCTATTTTCGGCTCATCGTGTTCGTTCTCGGCCGCCGTGAACTTGATCGCGAGACCCGGCTCGATCTTCGATCGCTCAACCTTCGAGACCGCGGTTTTCCGTCGATCGGAAAAAATATCGTTCGAGGAATGCTTGCAATGATCCAAGATCCAGGTCTCGATCGGCAACAGCCACGGATGCTTCTCCACGTTCTCCTCAATGATCCTCTCCACGTGATCCTCCAGCATCCTCTCAACAGAGCCCATCTTCCTCTCCAAAGAGGACTTCAAGGAACCGATCGTCATCTTGTCCTTTGTTTTCGACTTCTCCGTGGAAGCATTCTTCGATTTCGAGCTAGTAAACCCTGTGCAGTCCTTCGTTTGAAGGTTTTCTAAAGAACTCCATCTCCTTGGAGATCGGTCTAAGTCCTTGGAACGATCTACGCTCGTTTCTTCCGCTTGAATTCTCTTTTCTTGATCTTCTCCACTCAATAAATTACTCTCGCCAGTGTTTCTCAGGCAGTTCAAATGTTTTTCCTCCTTCACCGCGTCATTTTGACAGTACACTGTGTCTTCTTTTACTTTACACTTTAAAGAATCTTGATTGATCACTGGAGTAGTCCTCAGATCGCAGTTTTTTGCCTCGATTTTATCCTTTGAACCGTGAAATGACGAGGAAACTTTACTTGATTCAATTTCATTGGAAAGTCTGCTCCTTTCGGTAATTATTTTCTTAGTAGAGGTGTCTTGTAGATTTAGCAAACTCGACGATCGACGTCGATGGAAAATAACGTCTGTTTCAATGTTCGCATCATCTGATCGATTCCTCAGACTCCTTTCTTCTAATTTTTGCTTGAACTTTTCTCGATTGGACTCCCAGAATCTCTTCCACTTGGTCTCTATGCTTTCTTCAGTGGATATCGGTTTGAATGATTTCGAAGATCCTGAGGGGTGATTTTCTAGATCAATCGGAGGGTCTCTCACGATTATATCGCTTACCTTGCCGCGTTTTTGGAATAAACGTCGAACTGATCTTGGAATTTCCGCGTATTCCGTATCAATTTTGCTTTCAGTTTCTTTCTCTGGGTCAGTCGATGGATTCTTCGATGCATCTTTGACCTCTGACTCGCTGAACTCGGATCCGGCGGACTCATTCTTCGTGACTTTTGTATTGTTTGTGGCTGAATCTTTGGACATCGAAAATTTTCGATTTATTTGAGGTCCACTCATTGTCAAATAATTTTGAAAACGAAGTTTGCACACTGCAATATTGTTCTTCTCTTCATGTTCTGATTCACCTGTACAGTGAAACACTTGTTTCTCACCTTTCTGACTGTGTTACATAAATAATAAGTGGTTTCTTCCGGAGCGAACATACGAGTATACACCTGACCCCGTTCAATTGACACGTGTTTCTACTACTGCGTAGCTTCGCTTCATTTTGCAGAGACAATGGGTAATTTTGTGATGAATGATGCTGTTGTCAGTTGTTTGGTTCTTTTAAATGATCTTCTTTGACGATTGTTGATACAGATTTGTTGGTGTCAGGTTGCTGAATGTAGACGAAATGTTTTTGGTTTGTGTGAGATTGAAAGTTTGTGTGTTGACACATAATTTCCATGAAAGTTACTGTTTAATGTAGATTTATTTAGTCCTTGTTTTTTACGTGTTTTATTTACTTTATTTATTCTTTGTTATTTGTATATTTTATTTATTTTATTTATCCTTTTCCTTTTAGTTATTTTACTTGTTTTGCAAAATTCATTCACTTTATGTATTTTGTTTAATTTAATTTATATCACTTATATAACAATATTTGCTTGTCAATACTGTAGAAAGCCTGTGACATTTCACATTTCCATATCAAGCTTTTCTAATTAAAAGATATTTAATACAACGATTATATAACTAGAGTAGGAATATATGCAGATTTCATGTTTTGTATTATTAAAGAATAATATTTTTATCTTCTCTTTGATCCAATCCTACAATTATTCTGAGCAGTATATATTTTCATTCTCAATAGTCTAACACGTACACTTGTTATTTACATTAATCTATTGACATTAAACTTTCAAGCTGCATTTTCCATCGTATAGATTCAAAAATTGCATAAAACATAAATACTACATCATTTAAAAAATTGATAATTTCATATCGACCGATAAATATATCCTTTCGTGATCAATATTTCGTTTCTTTGGGATATCCGTAACAGACGTGGTAAAAAAGATTGCTTAACTCCGTGGCATGTTTGTGACACGTAACGTTTACTATCTTAGGTAAAGAAAATTATTGGTTTAATAAACGGAAAATTGGTGAAACGTTTTTCTTAAATTTTATTTTATAAGGGCGAAATGCATTTTATACAGACGATCAGTTGCATTTCATAAAATATTGTTTTTTTCTTCATAATTACAACTGCTTGTAACTGAAATAAACGTTGGTCGTGAACGTATTAACCTTTTGCACTTAAGAATATTTTTCTCAATAAATATTCATTGTTTTCCAATGAAATATCAATGACATTTTTAGCAACTGACATAAAAGAATATGCTGCATAAAATAAGAGACAGATTGATTTTATTTCGATGTTCCATGCATTGATACATTACACAAAATTTAATTCTAAATTTATGAAACAAGCCAATTTGACTAATATTGACTTTTATTCAAATTATTCAGTAAATGTTTGGATCGATTTTAATTGATGCATATTCGCAAATATGTACCCTAATTGTCTACTCTTAAACCTTTTATTCCCAAAATCGAAATGAACGAATATCACTTTCTCTAACAGCGATAGAATAAACTGTACAATAAATGTCCAGAAATCTAGTGTTGACATACATTTGAAAATGAATGTAATTTTAAAACATTTATTAAAATTGAGTATTTATCGTAATAATACTTTTTAAGTGTATAGCGATAAGCAACTTAAAAATACGTAACGCGAACAAATGTGTATGTAAATGACTACTACAGTAATACGTAAGTGAACAAATTTACTGGGTCGGAATGTGTTAATATTGAATTTTAAATCTTATAATTTTGCTACGTTAATCGTGCAACGGGTTAAATCCTCTAATTCTCTTTTGTCGTGACCGTTTTTGCGCACAGCAGTTGATTGCTACTTGCTCTTCCACCTACGAACAACATCGAAATATAAAGTCCACAAACTGCTCGCAACGTGACGCGTCGCAATTGATCGATCGTTCCGGGCAAGAAATAACAAAAAATAAAGTCACGTTTCTCAGAGATCGCGTGCGGCTAGTCTCAGTAATTTACCACATGAGCCTTGCGCTACGACGAGAACCGGAAGCCGAATAGAACAACGATCGAGACTTAACACATTGCATCACGACAACATATAATTTTATCTTTCCTCTTTTGCTTTGATTTAATCATTGAAGAGTGGACGTTTTTTATGAGTTCATTGTCGGCGATGTTTTGAATCAATCCAGTTTTTATTCATCCATTTTTTTTAAATATTTTTGTTAATATATTTCTATAAAATGTTTTGATTTTTCCATCGACTTTGTATACTGAACTGATGAGTTAACACTAGACAACCGCGCCTGTCAAAATGACGGATTTCAATTTTCTTATTTCGCAATTATTGATATCTTAAAGGTATTAAATATTCGAAATTATTTGAAAAATAGTTTCATTTGAATACTATAACAAATATACGAAGAAATATAAAAAATCTTGTTACAATTTTTATAAGGATGACATATTAACCGTACAAAACGCCCGGTGGTTCTAGTGTTAAAATAAGTGTGAAGTTAAATGTACGTAATTTTTTATCATCTGAGGCAGAATAGATTCAAGCACTTCTATCCAAGAGTTAATACATTAACGATTAAATGAACATTTTTTAATTTCTTCGAATAAGTTAATTTTCTATACTTAATTAATTAATTAAAATTGTTAATGTTCTCTACATCACTCTACCTTTCAAAGATTCATAACAAACAAGTAATATCTTATTTACATAAAAAATAAATAACATTTAGATTTGTTGAATTTGATTGAAAATTTTCATCACGAGTCCAGCTCGATAGGAGAAGGGGTTAACCCTTTTTATGATATCTAACTCCTAAACCATGAAATATTATAATAAGACATAATGAGTATGCATTTTTACAGCATAAATTCATGTTTTTCTTCAAGATAATAATGGAAACTTCCTTACATAACCAAAACGTGTTTACAGATTGAAACCATATTGCAAATTCGAGAAACAATAGAAAAAATTGGGTGTTTGCAAGCTACAAACACTTCGTTACAAAGGGTTTAACCCCTTGCCATACAATATCGTGTCAGATTCATAGTGAAGGTTTCACATAAAATATAACAAATTAGTAAATAATTGTTACTCAGCTATTTCAAGTTCAGATTGAATATTATTTTCCTATTATTAATTGTAATGCTTCAGAGTAAGCGTGAACATAGAATAAGCATAAATCTTTTCTCTTTTTCTAACGAATTGTGAACATTAAAGAAAGAAATCACACAGCAACGGGTTAATATGTGAACGGTTCGAATATAAACGATGCCAAAAGGAAAAAGGGGACGGACATTTTTGCGCGGTCATTTTGTTTGTCGGTGAATAGGTCAAAATCATCGGGTTAAACCTGATCTTGGCGTGAATCCAAAGAACGAGGAAGGAATTACTCGTGGCGCGACGATAGACACGTGTTCGTGGTGTCGCACAAATTAACCGATCACTTAACGGTCGTGAGTCATAGAAATGTCAAGCAACACACGTGGTTAGATATCGAGGAATCAACTTTAATCGATTCTGCGACCTTCCTCGTATTTCATATTTTCCCCGTTATTAAAATTATGCACGTAAAAAGGGAAACAGCTTACAATAGTCACCTCGCGTAATCTTTCGCAATATTGCACAAGAGCGACCAGTTTTTTGGTAACAAGGAAACTAACGCTGCACGATGTATTTATAAACCTCTTATTTTTAACAAGTATTTTATTAATTTTTATTGTAATCAAGTTAATTAATATGTATATGGAATGTAGAGTCTATAAGAATATTTTTA